TCATTTAATTTGAAAAATTCATCAGCCAAGGTAAGTTGGTTTTGAAGAGAAAGGTGATTTTCGGCGAGTATGTTAAGGTCATCCATGTATGCAATTGTGTTTTGAAGGAGATTGTTGTGTTTGTTTTGTTTGGATAGTAGGGTAATAAGGGGATCATAAAATATAATCCACCAAAGGGGGAGATAGTTTCTCCTTGATCAATGCCATCAAATATGGGGATTGGGTTTGTATTGCATATCACTTTATTTTGTTACAATAGGCTACAATTAATTTACTTATATAAAGATTGTTAATGTAATGACAGTAAATAAAAATTTAATAAAGTCTTGCATTTAATGCCTATTAGTGATTTAAAAAAAAAAGAAAAGAAAATACATTGTATAATAATCTTAAACTTTTTAAATAAATGTAATTTGTATTATTAAATACTTCAAATAGTTTTTTTGCACGTAAGTATTCATGCCAAAACAGATTTTGGCAACTTGAAGTACATTTTAAAAGAAAAATTTTAGTGTAAATCACAATAGTATATTAATATTACCCATTTTCCTTTATTACTTTTTACTGTTGCATTTTAATAAAAAAATACAATATCCTTTCTTTATCAAAAGGTGTAATACAAATTTTTGCTAATGTAAATATTCTACCAATAATATGTGAATCGAATGTTCACACGGGATGAATTCATAAAAAATCTGAAAAAGTATAGAAATATCATACTAAGGATAAAAAATAAAATGTATTAGTAAATGTATTAGTAAATGTAATAGTATCTACTAAAAATAAAATAAATAAACTTTTCGTTTTACGAAAAACTAAGTTACTGTAATTAAATAAACAGATTTTTTCGTTATTAATTAAGTCTGAACACTTAATGGTTTTTTAAGAAGTAAGCCCGTAATCGTCTGATTACTGTTCTTGTATTATAAGAAAAAATTTTGTTTTTCTATATATTGTAAATATTTAGAAAAATTATCATTATTATCGGTGAAAGAGTGACTAAATCGAACAGGACTTGAGGCATGTGATTTTATTTAATATTTGGGGGGTGTACGGTAAATCAGGAATACTGAAGTAGTAAAATGATAAAGGTCAATACAAAGTAACGAATATTGCTATGTCAGTACGTAGGAGTGTCTTCTATTTTTTTCTTAATCAGAGCAACCATAAAGTTAAAGGCTTTGGTGTAAATCCCCGGGCAGTTACTCTCCCGGGGTCCACCGACATTAAGAACCTTAACATTTTTTTCATCTAACCATTTTAAAACGTGAATAACATTTGTCGTTTTCTCATCGAGGAGGATTATCTTTGAAGGTTTAGATAGTTTTTCGGCTTTTTCAATAGTAAAGCTTGTTCCACGATCTGGAGGGGCTTTCGGTAAAAGCAGGATTAACGTAGCATCCGAATCTCGGATGTTAAACTCTGTTCTTTCAGGATACGAGTCCGATGGAGTTTCCACAAGTGGATAGTGTGGTGGAATTTCACCCTCTTCAGAAAGTCTTCCTTTTGGACACCAACCGGTGACTTGTATGTAATTTTTATAGAGCAGAGCAGCATCCAGGGCTGCTCTGTCGACACCGGTTTGTCCTCCAGATCTAATCGTAAAAATATGGTTATCTCCTTTATAACTTTCTTCTTCGGACATGTATAAATGATGCTGAAAGGCAAGAGAAGAATTTCTGTTCGTATGGCAAATAAATCATACGCACGCCATGTGCAACTAATGCCCAACTGGTTGTTCAGTGTTACAATAATACACCTTACACACGTACCATTGCGCCTAGTTCTGTTACTGATTCCAGTCTGAATGATTTTTATTAAGAATTTACATTGTCTAAAATGTATAATATCCATTTTATAATAATTCATGAAAAAAAAAATGTTAAGAAAAAATTGACAACATTCATTCTATAAATATTAGTTGTGAAAGAGTGATACGCTCGCTCTCTATTATGAATATTATGATTGTTTGCACGGTTAATCATACCTTTATTAAGTTCTATTATTGAGTACTTATAATCATATGAAACCATTACGTACAAGAATTACATAAATAATTAAAATACGTACATGGGTGTAATATGTATAGTGTGCATAGCTTTTTTGTGCATTTATTGTTTTTATATTATAATTAGTTCATAGATGTTACACAAAATAAAAAAATCCAGAAATTTTAATTTTTTGCGGAAATGGTCTGCAGTAGTTCATTCTTGTGAAATTATGACACTGGGGCATCAACTAAATACGTAAATGGAGAAAAGCGCATGATTAGGATTAAATCCGGAACCTTCTTCAGGTTGAAAACATGGAAAGCACGTGTTCCTACTCGTGCTCACAGTGTGGTTAAGGGATTCGCGGAAGATAATTGATTTTGTCGTATAATCGAACGACTTATGTTATTGAGAAGTTTTATGGTAGCAGTAGAAACGTGGTAAGCAGTGAGTAGCCACATATTATTGAGGTAGTGGAAATTTTATTATTATAATGTCAAGTTACTATAACATTATTTTTATAGCTGTTGCAAACCAGGGCGGTCATAGAAAACGTTCGCAAAGCGGTAAGGTTCAACGATATTTTATAAGGGTGGTAGTTATTTGGCACTTGTTTGTGTTTGGTATTCCTTGTATTTGCAGAACAAGGAATTGATAATGAAAAAACAAACTTTATAAAAACACATTGCGAAAAGATGGGATCGAGTGTTGATAGAGATGTTTTGAGAAAAAGGTAATAAAAATATGTTGACGGAAGACAAAATAATGTAGTTTAAAGATACTTAAATGCGCTTGAGATTATATTATATACTACGTACTACATCCCCTGTTTATGATCCAGTCATGTGATAGAAAATTGCGCCATACTGTATACTGTGATATATTCAAAGATTGTCACATTTCGTAAACTTTGCAATTATTAATTACCGCAAACGCTAATTATGGAATAAGGGCAAGGTTCTTGATCGATGGCTCTCGACAAAGTACTTAATCACGATCTTCGTCTTTACAATATATTCACGCCTAGAACGGATTAACTTTGGTTCACCATGTAATAACGAGTACTTTTATCTCCAAATTCTAATTGATACTATTCAGTATAATATTTAAAGTCTATACCAAAAAATTTTTTTGTATTAGTATAATAATTATTAAAATATTTAATATAAAACTTTAAAATATAAATATAAAACCTAAAATATTGAAATTAAAAATCTATTTAATTCAATATAATAAAATAAAATTTTAATTAATATTATATAATATTATATTTTATAAAACTATCATTAATATCAATAATAATAATTAAGAAAAATTTTAATGCAATTTAAAAATATTTTAATATTAAACTCGAAATATTAAATCAATAATATTAAATCAAAAGTATATGTTTAAATTAACTAAATATAAATTATTTTTTATTAAAAAATTAAAAAATCAAATCCTTTTAATTTACTAATTACTGTAAATCAAAAAATTTAATTTAATTTAATATTATAGAAAAAAATTAAATAGTTTAATTAATATAATTTGTATTAAGTAATAAAGATTTTTTATTATAATACTATATTTATTTATAAAATTTAATATTATATTCTAAATAATATTTTTTTTGTAAATTAATTTTTGTAAAAAAAGTTTTATAGGTTCATAACTCAGTAAATAGAGTATTATAGGTTTATATTACAATTTACAAATTTAATTTTACTTGGATATTAATATAATTTTCCAAAAATTTGAAAATCAACAAACTATTGGCTTAACTATATGTATATAATAATTAATAATTCCAATTATAAAAAAAATAATCTATAAGAAAATTGTAATGTGTGATTATACATTAAAAATCAACTAAATTATCTTCAATTCAATTATATTGTCAAAAAATATACTAGTTAAAATTTGATTATTTGATATGTCAAATTGTTATCAAATTTTTAAATTTTTATAAATAAATTTAAGCTAAATTTATGTTGTTTAATGTCACTCAATATAAAAAAATATAAATATTCATTAAACATTTATAAATAGTTCAACTATAACATTATAGTATTTAACAATAAAATTTTTTTTTTTATAAATAAATATTATTACTTTATTAATTGTAAAAAATATGAAAAATTTTATATATAAAGAAAGTAATAACATCTCTTATATAATAATTAGATCAATAAGTTTAATGCTAGCTTGCCTATATATTTTATCAAAGTAATATAAAAAAATAAATATTAAAACCTATATATATCAAAAACATTCAATAATAAATAAAATACAAATATTTAATAGATAATAATAAAAAAAACTCTTTTCCGAAAATAAAATTTCCTAAAAATTTCCTTTTTTGGAAATATACAAAAAACACTCCAAGAAGCATCAAAGGAAGTCTCTTAGGAAAGCCCTACCAAAAGAAACACTCTACTGCCTTCCTCCAAACTAAAGGAGGATATACAACACAGGTATACACTGAGTTTAAAA